CACATTCGACATGGTGACATACAATGAATGACTTCTTAATTCATATTTTTATGACATTCAAGAAAGGTTAATTGGCTTGAATATGGGCATGGAATAGCAAGAGACTCTCCCCCTTTGGACATCTAAGTGTCTGCATACATCAAGTGTCCACATTCATCCTTTATTCTTTCATAAGTGAGTAAGCCAAGGAAGTTCTAGTGTCCACCTTCCCTTTGGACAAAATTATGCCTTAATTCAGCCTCAAAAGTATCCAATTCATCGTAGACAATCTAGAATATTCAACCACTAAAGGAGAAGAGAAGAGACAATGCATTCATGAGCATTCATCTCCTTTATGTGAACCTTTCATATTCAACCTATGAACACTATAAATAGGCACCATTTCTTTATTGTAAATCACACAACTTTGAATTATATAAAACCTCTTATGAGTTGATTTCTTTTTAGTTCTTGTTAAGAACTTTATTGACTTCAAGTTGTTCTTGTGGCATTCATCCATTCCATTCTTTTATTTTGTTGGTTCATAGCTAGAGTGTCACAATCCATACCCTACCACTTCAAAATTCATCTTATTATATTGTTGGTTCATGTTTCTATATTACTAGTGGGTCACAATCTATTCCTATGTATCCCACGCCTATATCATCCATTACCTTCAACATTTTTCCTTTCATATAACCACAACTTCCATCACCTTCCTCAACTTATCCTATTCACAACAACCTTCATATTATCACTTCCTTATTCATTATTTTCATATTCATAAATATCTCTTCTTTTTATCATATTACTAGTTTTATTTTCAAATTGCAAACATTCAAGTTACATCGCTTACTAGAATCACTATCGCACAACATCATATGATTCAGTAACATCACAACCAAATTCATATCACTAATAATTAGATTTTCTTCAATGGTTTATGTGCTTTTATATTCCCTTACAGACTCAACTTAAAGTGCTTTTATTGTTACTTTTATTTTCATTTTTTCTGGCATTACATATAAATAGTATATATTGTAAACCTTTAAACAAATATAATTATTAGCCTTTCTTCCCGTTACCGACGAAGTAGGTATAGGAGTGGTTGCAAGAGACCATCACAGGATGATCAATTGTGGGATGGAAAAGAAGTTGGATGGCATGCACACGACATAATCTGTGGAGGTCATCGGTTTCACAAAGGGTATCCGTTTGGCTATTGAGAATGGTTGGTATTCTGCGATAATTGAAGGGGATGTCATTTCCATTGTAAATCGTCTGGCTAAACCAAAGAGAGATATCTCAGTATTCGGATTGATGCTCAACAAGGCACGTGCTTTCTTGTTAGTTCTCCAAATCTCAAAATCTACTATGTGCATCGAAAAGCCAATCGGGTAGCAAATACCCTCGTCCATTGGGCTTTGTCGATAACCAATCCGACTTGGTGTTATTTTGATGAACCAAATTGTATTAAGGATAATGTAATTCTCGATGCTATTGGCATTTAATACTATTTATCATTTTAATATATATGTATATATATATATGTTGGCACAATGGTAGAAGCACACTTAAACTCAACACTATCATTTGTCCCCTTTTGCCCTATCCATACTTCCCCTTTTTTTACACAAAATCATTAATTTCCCAAATTTCCACTCATAACCATGACAATTATCTCATATTATCCCTATTCAGAACCTGAACCTATGCATGGTAACCTTGTTTTTTCCCAATACCCCAGGCAGGTAAAATATTTAGGGTATTGGGCCTACCCAAATTTTATTTAGCAAAGTACGACATTTGCTACAGTCCAAACAAAACTCATCACCTCGAGGTGACTAGTTCTATGGGATATTATTTTTTAATAGTCTACGCATAGAGGGCCTCACGTGGGGCCATTATTTTAATGGCGTTATAATGACTTGTCACGCCGAGGTAACGATTTCATTAAAAATATTTTTTTTTAAATTAAAAAAAATTAGAAAATTAAAAAAAAATATTTGATGAAACTCATCACGTTAAGGTGACGATTTCCTTCGAATTAAAAAAAATTAGTCGTTGGCTAGTCATTGTTCAACTAGAAGACGAGCAACAATGGTCACTTTGAACTCGTCACCTCAAGGTGACAACTTTGGACAGAGATAATTTAAAATTAAAAGAAAAATTAATTTATTTAAATTTTACGAAATACAAAGTAAATTAATTCTGAAAAATAAATTTTTACATGAAAATTACAAAGAAAATTTATTTGTCTTATAAGTTTTTGACGATGTCGCGAAGTGATCGAATGATAATGTTGCGAGGGTCGTCGAGTAAGCCGGGGTCATAAGCCTTTATTGTCGTCGTCTTGCCGAGGAGGTGTACCCAATACACTTTTCGATCCATCTTCGAAATACAGTGGTGGATTTATGACATTAGATGCCATCATCGCCGTAACTGCTTCAACTTGGATACTACTTTGTTGACCATATAGGATATTGTCCCAATTAACTGCAATCACATGTTCTTTCGAAGATACTTGAGTGTATTACGGTGCATCCCAGAAACCTACAACCCAATTCGGTTGAGTCTCGACTGAAGTATGAAATGGATAATAGAAGCCGAAACTGACCTAGGATGCATAATAGTACTCTTCAGCGGCATATACTGAAGCGAAAGCAGAAGACAACAATGCTTTCTTCTTGGACTTGGACTTGGACTTGGCACATGTGGCCTGTTGATGTTGTCATTCTGCCCCCTCTTCTGGTGTTGTGAGATATGATTTGCCATTTTCTTCTTTAAGCCAGAGATAGGGAGAATGGTCGATATCTAAGTCTAACGGTGTAATGTCCTGACGATGGGGGAGCAATAGTTCACGCTGATTTCATAGATCGATGTAGTAAACATGTCGCACTGGTCAATTTTCATTATGTTTCCCACATGTATCGATTGTATGGAGCACGTCCATATCAACCTCCATTTGCCTAGGAATCAGCTGGCGCGCCGCAAACTGGCACATCATTATATCAGTCACGTGCCACTCAACAATAGCTTGGTGAAATAATGATGTCACGATACACCATAAGTGAGACCCCTCAAAAAATTACCCCGATAATGCATGGCTAATGTTAATGCACATAAAGTTAAAAAGATTAAAAAAATAATTTCGTATGTCATATCGCGAATCGACCGACGATGTCGATCATCGTCTGTATATCTTGTGTAGTGGCACCTGCTAACTTCGTCTCTGTTATTTTATGACACCATATAAAATATTTAAAATAAAAAAATTATTATAAACGAATAATAAATAAATAAATTTATGAAATTAAAAAAATTAAATAAATGAAGTTAAACAATTACCTTCCAGCCAGCGGAAACTCGACCGGGGCATCTGTAATTGGCGTCAAAAAAGGGAAGTTATACTAAGCCCAAGACTGTAGCAGTATCACACATCCTGCTACATCAAATTTTTGACCCGACGTTACGATTGCAGCCTTCCAAAGCTCCCGGTACTAAAAGGCTTGAATCACCGAGCCCCAACTGGTATTACGTTACACAATGAAGTCTTCCAAAATTTGCAGATACTGAGTGTGCACCAGATTACTGAATTTATCCGGTAATAATGTTCCTCCGATCACTTGCAGAATAAATGCTAAGGATGCGAAAACAACCTCCGCCTCAGTAGACTCAGCAGTCACTTTGAATTCAGACTCTAACCACGTTATCATTACCCAATAGCCCCTCATGACTTCGGATGGTGACCATTTTCCCAGAAATTAGTGGACTAACGTCGAGGGATTGTACATGTTCTGCCTCATCATGGGGGCTCCATTCACAGGAACACTGAGTTGGTAAGCAACGTCTTCCAAAGTAATCGTCGCTTCACCACTTGAAAAATGAAACATGTGTCTCGGGGCACCAACGTTCGATCAGAGCCTCGATCAACGTCAAGTACACATTGAAACCATGTAAAAATATAGCTGAAAATATACATAATTGATGTAGATACGTCACTATCCGCTGATACGACTCTCTAGTTGTCATTCCCCGACTGCGAATACTCCATTCATCATTCAACATGCGTTGGATCGACGAAACATGAGTATTATCCAACTGCAACATATATTCTTGGGTTACCATTTTTTGGGATTTTCACACAACGTATGCTTTTTTTCAAAAAAAATTGAATTCAAGGTTTGGTGAAAAACCAAAATACCAAACCCTATTTATAACCTTACCCCAACGACTATAAACGACTACTTTCCAACGACTATAAACTAGTTTTTTGAAATCTACGAGGCGAGTTCCAAGCGATCGTTCCTACCTATCTATCTGTTGAACAACAACTAGTTTTTTTTTTTGAATTTGAAGGAACTCGTCATCTCAATATGACAAGTTCCATTGAAATTTTTTATTTTCAAAATTTTATTTTTTTAAAAAAATTAAAAATAGTTTTTAATGGACTCATCACCTCGGCGTGACGAGTCATTATAACACCATTAAAATAATGACCCACGTGAGACCCACTTCACGTTGACCATTAAAATAATGATATCCCATAAAAACTCATCACCTCGAGATGATAATTTCCGTTTGGATTGTGACAAATGTCGTATTTTGTTAAATAAAGTTTGTGTAGGCCCAATACCCTAAATATTTTACCCTCCTGGGGTATTGGGCAAAAAAACCCGGGAACCTAGTCTTTAGATTAGGTTAGCTATATTTTCGTTTGCTTTAATAACCAAGATGGCCTTATACTCTTTAGGCCTAGACCAAATACGACCTTTTAGTTTCCGCCAATACCCAACAAGGGGCCATCAGATTGGAAACCAGGCTAAAGATGGCAATGAGCATTAGAGAGAGAGAGAGAGAGACCTAGTATTTGCAGATGTATTATACCTCCAAAAACCAGTCAGAATCTTTTTCACTTTTCTTACCGAACAAATGCTCAAATTTAAACTTTAGACATGCTAAATACCAAATTTTAAGAACAATTACATGAACCAACAGAACTTACACAAATTCTTAAGATAAATATTCTTTAAATGACACAAGGTACTCGGAAAATTGCAAACAAGGCACTAGGCAGCTCAACATGACAGTGCAAGATCTTGCATGATTCACACCAATAAAACCAAACAAGAATTCTTGCATGGTTTTGGCACATCGACCAAATTGACAAGTAAAAAAAAAGTACCCTCATAAACTAGCCACATTATCAAAAGTATTTGAAACTACTACTATGGTCCATGGTGTTTAATAATAGGGATTGTATTGCATTGCCATTATCAACCTTGGAACCTTCCTGCAATGTAGTTTATAGAACAAAGTTTAAAACCCTTTATTTAGGTTTGCTAAAACTGAAAATAAAAGCTCAAAAGTGTGTATATAGGAATTAAGATGGAGAAACACAGCTGCTAGCATACCCATATCCATAGGGATTAAAGAAATATGGAGCCATAAATGGGTCCCTGGGTTGCATTAAAGGGTTGGACCAACGTGGACGATATGGTTTCATCCCAGGTATATTGGTCCGCTTAGCAGTAACTTTCAAAGATATAGAGAAAGCACATGATGCTTAAATAGTTTAACAGATGAAAGTTCAACTAAAGAAGCCACTGTGTTCTTTTTCTTCTCAAAAGAGACAGAAGGGGAGGGGAAAAAAACAATAAACTTTACCTTCAACTGCCTGCCATAAAGTTCAGATTCAATCAAAAGAAGAGCCTCTTGAACAGCCTCAGCTTCAAAGAACCTCACGTATGCATAACCCTTTGGCTGGCCATACTTGTCTGAACGAATAGTAACCTTATTTACAGTCCCACAAGATTGGAAATGCTGTTGAACTTCTTCAAGTGCACACGAATAATCCACTTGCATTCACAGAATGTTATACATGTAGCCACTAGCATGCACAGAACAGTATTTTAAAATAATAAAAATAAGGAGCAAGTTTCTGTAATTATTGATCTGTTAACTAAAAACCAGAGACTAAGCAACAAACAATGTCCCCTATGCAAGTATTTGCTTACTTATCACCTTGTCAAGAAAAGGCAGACCAAACCTGAATAAAGAACAGGGCGTAATTAACAACGTTAAACAGCCAGTGGACTCAGGTGTTTATAAGGAGCTAAACTAAAGCAAATGATTAAAAGTTAAAACCTTCTCAAGCAATTAGCATTTACACAGGGAAGACATTGTTGATTGATAGGGCCAACAAATTGATTAATGATCTAATATACCAACTTGTTAAACTTAAAGAGGACATAACATAAAAGGATATATCCAGTTCATTTTAGTCACAGACCACGACCAGTGCCATATTATAGCCACACCCACATTAACATATCATGGCCAAACTAGGGTAAACATCATTTGAATAATCACAAAGAAAAATCCATACATTCTTCCATAACACAGAGAAGAAACAGGTGCACATATTTCATGAGAAAGTATTTTATGAGACTTAACATGTGTTTTAGAATAGGGAACACACTTTATATCTGTTTTCCTCAATGTGTAATTGTTCTGCATCAGTTGTTTCTTAATTTCTTTCACAATAGAAACATCATACTCAAAACTAAAACCATAATCAGAGATGATAATAAGTTGTCATTTCAGTCAATGTTAAATAGTTAAAAAACTCCTTATTAAATAATTATTGTAACTTTCTAAACGACTTTCAAGTTGCTATTTATTATTTTGTCATTCCCCATTCCCGAACTGAGACAAACATGTTAGGAACATGCAGCATCCCATGGTTTATTCATGCATGTGGAGCACCTCCACTCCAGTGTCACAAAAATAGGAGCCCAAAGCAAGCCAATAAGAAGTGTCTGGGTAGTGGCTCTTAATCCAGTGTATCTACTGGTACAGCTGTCCAGCTAGTTGACTTGATTTGAGTTACAACAACATTTTAAGTTTGGCTATGACAGTTAGTCTAATTACTGGTACTAGTGTATCCTGGATTAATATTTAAAATAAGAACCTGTAAGCATGTATACTATAGGGGGAAATGGGCCTTTGGGAAATTGATAGGATAAGTTCAACCTGATACACAACTTAACCATTCCCATGAATTTGGGGGAGGTTACTTTGTTTCTCGTGTTTAGATTCAGAAGTTAGCATGTTACTGAACTACCCATGTAGCTTATGACTCCAAATCGACAGATACTTAGCTATATATTCAATGGAGGCAAATACTTTTGCATCATTAGAATATAATTAGACATGTGCAAAGGCAAGAAAAAATAAGGCAGGGAAAGTAACCTCACATTTCCAACAAAGATTGATCGGGAATCTACTTCCTCTTGATTAGCTTGAGACGTAGCTGCAGCAGCAGGATCCTATGTTGCACTGATACGGATACGGGGATGGGAAACGACAATTTTTAAAATTACAGGGTACGAGGACGGCAATGGTACGCCATATAAAATAATTTTAAAATTATAAATATATATAAAAAATCATAAATAAAATCAAATATCAAGACATAAACCACAATATTAAGTTTAGAACAGGTGGGAAAACAACCCTGTAAAGGAAGTTTTATAATATTGATGATCATACGAGCTACTGTTAGGAAGTTAATGGAAATGTTTCATTAAAGAAGTTAAAGAAACACAAAACTATCAGTCTATAACTATTTTTTTCTCATTTATTCTTTATTTTCCTTAGATACAATTTTAACATGCTCAGAACTTCAGAAGTCCATAACACATAGTTAGGTTTCATTTAATATTATATCAGAGCAATCAGTGATTTTCTGTTCTGGCCTAATATGCAAATAAGTTGTTCTCTATTCCGCCAAAATGGGTAAAAAAACTTACTAGTAAACCTTGCCTAAATAAGGAAATATTACTCGTATCTGAACATAATAAAAAAACCCATACCACTAGTTGATAGACAGAAAACATACATCATCAGACCATAGTCATGGAAGTTTAACCTCACTAATGAAGCTTTTTATAAATAAACAACGCAAAGGAGTCATGATTTGTAGCATCAATCACAATTTACCCATTGTTACATGATTGTAAAGTTATCAATGAAGTATGCAAAGGGTATAAACAATCATAGACGAACTGGATTAAATCCAAAATCGCAAAGGAGAAAACAAGAGATACCCTAAAGGATCGATTTGAGGGCCTCTTGATTCATTAATTGTAACACCAGGATGATTGGGCCTCGATCCTGCAACATAGTCATCAATAATGCAACAGTCAATGAACTCCAAAATACATTGATTTAAACCACAAAAATTAAACAAAAAGAGAGCAAAAGATAAGATAGTTACTCGATTTCAAGATGAAGGGGTTGAGAACTGTTCTCAGCCAAAGTCTCGACAAACAATTTTTTATTCATAACCAGACATTTCACCAAAACTTTCTTCGACCCTTTCTCGGGATTGGTATAGACAAACGCGTAATGGTCTTTGAATTCGTTCCAATTATCGATTCCTACCTCATCTAAAAACCAAATATGATTTTTAAGGAATTGAAAAAGTAATAGTAGCAATCAAATTAGAAAGAGAAGAAAAGCGAATACCAGTAGAGGTAGAAGAGAAAACGTTGTTGCCCAAAGCAGAAGGCCCAATGGCGGTGAGGACAAAACCGACCGAAAGTAACGTCGCGTGAATGGCGAACGCGACCTTGTTGTGGTCGTTCCTAAAAGAAGGTATCGCCGCTCTAATGACGGCGATCACCGTTCTCTCGTTTGATATGTTCGAGATTTTCTGAAGGCCGTCCCTGAAACGTCCCCTGTATAGCTCGGTCGTACCCTGCCACCGTGGCACGTCCCCAGTACGTACCCTGTCCGTCCCTGTGCCAGGGACGTTTCGGGTACTTGAAACGCCCTTCCTCTGCCGTCCCCGTGCAACATATGCAGGATCTATTGCATTGCATAGAAGCAAATCCAACAACAAAAGAAGAGCATTCAACTAAAATTAAAGCACAGAAAATAGAAGATATTCATTTTATGTGATGCACACATACCCACAGGATTCAAAATTCCAGCTAGCGGTTCCCTAAAAGATGCCATACGGAAAATTTTCACATAAGCTTAAAAAACCCATAAGGGATTTGATTTTGATTTAAAATCTTTGTCAATAATCAGGCAAATGAAAGTATTTATCATATGGTTTTGCAATCATTTAGCTAGATATCACACATTATGTACCAAAAGCCCATTTAAAAGAAAATACAAGTGAATAAAACAAAGAGCGTCAATCAAACGTTTTTATTTAAACCTAAAAACTACGAAAACTTTTTAAAAATAATAATAAAACCCAAAATCTTACAACAAGGAAAAAGAAAATAAGCACATTTGAGCAAGAAAATGGAACGAAAAACAGAGTACCTTGAACGGAACCCATCTCCTTCCCGAGCTTAGCTTGCATCTTCGAAGAGCAGCGGCTTCATCCTCCATTTCTTTTAACCTTTTTTTCATGCCATCTAGGTCCTGCAAAATTCTCCAAAATTAGGGTTTACTAAAAACAGAAAAAATCCCAACAATAAAAAAAGTACAAAAGGAAAAATATAGTAAAATGACAGGTTCAGTGGATTCCTCAGCTGCCATAACTACATCATCTCCTTCCATCTTCTCTTTTTGAACTTCAATAAAATTGAAGGATCGAACAAGGCCTTTCATGCTTTTTCTCCTGTTGTAACTAACTATACTTTCTCCTAGTGACAGATCCTTTCGCTGATATTTTTGTTTGGAGTGTTGGCTATAATGCTAGGGATATTTCAAACGCTTAAATATACAAAGGTGCAACCTATGTTTATTTTTTCAGTTTATTATCTAACATTTATTTTGTTTCAATTTTAGTGTCTAATATTTTATTTTCTCACTCATTTAAGTGTTTGAATCGTCAATGATGTTAATTTTCTCGTTAAATGACACATGTCATAATCTGGTAATTTTAAAAATTTTATTTAAAATTAAAAAGTTAAAATTATATATATATATTTAAAAAGAAAACACAAAATTTGAAATAAACTCAAAACTCTAAAAACCTTCATCTCGACCCCTAAACCCAAGTCGATCGCTGCCTTTTACCATCGACGAAGCTCCACCCAACATCTCCTCCCCTTAACGACCAAAACCCCATAAAATCATGATCAATGTCGACCGATTGATGATGAATCAGCGTTTTATACCCCACAAACCCTATAATGAAAATCATGATCCCATGTGATTCCGATGGTCGATTGACCATTGATCGATCACGATTTCATGGGGGTTTTGATCGCCGAGGGGATGAGAGCTCGGGTGGAGCTTCTTCGACGGTAAAAATGAAGAAGAGAAAATGACCAATGTTTCCAAATAGGAAGGATTCGTTCAATCTCTTTGCTATATCGCTTTGTTCAGTACGTTTTCGATCCAAATATTTGAAATGGTGTTCACGGGAAAAAAGGAAGAAGAAGAGAAAATGACCAATATTTCCAGACTTTTCCTTCCTTATATCTATTTACCACATGCTTTAAATCCTTTAAAAATAAATTTTAAATTCATTTCTTGCAAAAAGACCAATATGCCCTTCTATTCTTCAATCTTTAACAATAAGTCCTACATAATATTTTTCCAAATCAGTCCTTGAACTTTTCAATTTATCAAAATAAATCAGTAAATTTTAAATCCTTACATTTTAGTCATTGGCACGATGTTTGAGGTATTACAATTCTCCCCCTTAAGAACATTCGTCCTTGAATTTTCACTACACATATAGATGAGGAAATTGTCTTCTCATATCCTCTTCACATTCCCATGTCGCCTCTTCCACTTTGTGATTTCTCTAGAGAACTTGAACTAACAGAATCATCTTGTTCCTTAGTTGTTTGACTTCATGTGCTAAAATCTGCACTGGTTTCTCCTCATAGGTCAGGTCAGATTAAACTTATATATCTTCTGGTGCTATGATGTGAGAATGATCTGATCGATATCTTATGATCATCGAAACATGAAAAACATCGTGGATTTTCTCCATTTCTGGTGGCAATGCTAACTGATATGCCACTGGTCCAATTCTTCTTAAGATCTCATAAAATCTAATAAATCGTGGACTCAGTTTTCCTTTGCGTCCAAAATAGAGAATCTTCTTCCAAGGCGATACCTTGATAAACACTTTATCACCTACTTGGTATTCAATTTCTTTCCTCTTCAAATCTGAGTAAGATTTCTGTCGATCAACAACTATCTTCAGATTATTTTGAACAATCTTCACTTTATATTCAACTCCTTTGATCAGATCTGGCCCAACTAAATCTTGAACTTTTAATTCGAACCAATTTAATGGTGTTCGACACTTCCTTCCATATAAAGCTTTGTAGGGCGCCATCATGATACTCGATTGATAACTATTATTGTAAACAAATTTTGCAAGCGAAAAATACTTCTCCCACAATCCACGAAAATCAATCACACAAACTCTTAACATAACTTCCTGAATCTGAATAGTTCGCTTAAATTGACCATCTTTTTATGGGTGAAAAGCCGTGATAAAGTTCAATCGGGTACTCAAGGCTTCATGTAAAGATTTCCAAAACCTCGAAGTAAATCTTGGATCTCTGTCAGAAACTATGGAAGCTGGTACTCTATGTAGTCGAACTATTTCCTTGATGTATAGTTCATCATACTTATCCATTGAATAATCAGTTCGAACAGGAATAAAGTGGGTTGTCTTTGTCAACCTATTGACAATTACCTAAATTGAATCTTTTTTATTCGGTGTCAATGGTAATCCCGTTACGAAATCCATCGTAACTCTTTCCTATTTCCACTGAGGAAAGAAGATCGGTTGTAAAAGTCTTGAAGGTACTTGATGTTCAACTTTCACTTGTTGGCAGGTTATACACTTTGCAACAAACTCTGTAATAGCTATTTTCATGCATGGCCACCAGTTTCACTCTTTTAAATCTTGATACATCTTGTTTCCTCCTGGATGCATAGTCAAAGGACTACAATGCACTTCAGAAAGTATGTCTCTCTTCAACTCTTCATTATTTGGAACATAAACTCGATCTCTGTAATACAAACATCCATCTGACTTTACTTCAAAATCTTTTTGTTCACCTTTTCCTACTTGTATCAATCATGTTAAACACTTATTATCTCTCCTTTGTGACTCTTTTATTCTCTCCAACAATAAAGGTCTTAGCTTTAATTCATCCATCAGAGCACTATTTTCTTTTAAAGAAAATCGGGCATCCAACATGCATAAGGCTGCAAAAGTCTTTCTGCTAAGTGCATCAGGTACCATATTAGCCTTCTAGGTTAATAATATATGATTGCATCATAATCTTTAAGTAGCTCAATCTATCTCCTTTGTCTCAGGTTTAGCTCCCTTTGAGTTAACAAATACTTTAAACTTTTGTGATCAGTGTAAATATAACAACACTCACCATATAAATAGTGGCACCATATCTTTAGTGCAAACAACAATGATGCTAACTCAAGATCATGCGTCGGATAATTCTTCTCATGTGGCTTAAGTTGTCTCGAGTCATAGGCTACTACTTTTTCATCTTGCATCAAAACACATCCTAGGCCATTATAGGGAGCGTCACTATATATTGTATAGTCCTTGCCCGATTCTGGTTGCACTAGCACTAGAGCTTCCATTAGCACCTTCTTTAAAGATTCAACACTCTTTTGACATTTATCTGTCCAATTGAATGGAACATCTTTCCTTAACAGCTTTTTCAATGGAGAGGAAATCATCGAAAAGTCCTTAACAAACCTTCGATAATATCCTGCTAAACCCAAGAAACTTCGTACTTCAAAAATATTTATTGGAGCTTCCCAATCCATAATAGCCTTAATCTTCTGAGAATCTACTCGAATCCCCTCTATAGATACCACACGTCCAAGGAATGCTACTTTAGGTAACTAGAATTCACATTTAGATAACTTAGCATAAAACTTCTTATCTCGTAGTATTTGAATAATTAGTTGAAGATGGGCTTCATGCTCCTCATTTGTCTTTGAATACACCAAGATGTCATCAATGAAGGTAAAAAAAAATTGATCGAGATATGGTTGAAATAATCTATTCATTAGGTCTATAAACGCTGCATGTGCATTAGTTAACCCAAACGGCATTACTATGAACTCATAATGGCCATATTGCGTCTTAAAAGCTATTTTTGGAATATCCATTTCTTGTATCTTCAGCTGAAGATAGCCAGAGCGTAAATCAATCTTGGAGAACATTGAAGCTCTCTTCAGTTTATCAAATATATCATCGATTGGGAGAAGATATTTGTTATTTATTGTCACCTTGTTGAGCTGTCAATAATCAATTCGTAGACACATCGAACCATATTTCTTCTTTACAAATAACACTTGTGCACCCCAAGGTGACACACTAGGTCTAATGAATCCCTTATCCAATAACTCTTGCAACTAAGCCTTTAACTCACTCAGTTCCTTTGGGGCTATTCTGTAAGGAGCCATCGAAATTGGTGTTGTTCCCAGCATAACCTCAATTTAAAACTCCACCTCTCTATCTGGAGGTAATCTCAGTAGCTCAGCTGGAAATACGTCTAGAAATTCTTGGACCGTCGAAATGTCCTCCAATCTCATCTCCTTGGCTCGAGTATCGATCACATTGGCGATGAAAGCTTGACATCCTTGCAACATCAACTTCTTAGCCAACATTACCAATATCACTTTAGCTAATGGATTAAATCTTTCGCTGGTTACAATTACTTCAGATCCATCAGAACTTCTAAACACTACTTGCTTCAATCGACAATCGACATTGGCATGGTAACGATACAACCAATCCATTCCCAAAATAACCTCTAACTCGTTAAAGGCTAATTCCTTCAGATTAGTAGGGAATTCAATTCCCTAAATCCTTATAGGATACCATCGACAAATTTGATTTACTCGAGTACTATGCTCTAGAGGGTTGGTCAAAATCACCTAACTACTTATAGCTTCTAACTGAATTGTCTATTCTCTCACCAATTTACTATTAATATAAGAATAAGTTGATCCCAGGTCAATCAATACCAAAACAAGTTTATTAACTAATTGGAAAGTACCTGCAATGATCTCTGGATCATCATGATCTTTACTAGTCTTAAGGTTATACACCCGAGCAGCCGAGCGCATTTCCGGCTGAGTGGCTGATTCAGACTGATTCCTTTCTCTGCCTTGTCCTCTACCTCTCTGAGGTACAGTAAAAGACCTCTCAGATTGTGCAGACTCTTTGGTTATTAATGGGTAGTCCCGGATAAAATGTCTAGTGTCCCCACATCTGAAACATGCTCCGGAGACCATCCGACATACACCACTATTATTTTTTGCCACTATGATTTTTTGCCACAATGCTGACATCGAGTTGACTTTCCCGCTCCTGATTCAATTGATTGAGTCTGCTTAGCTCTCACATGATTTGATCATCTACCTAAGGATATAGTTGACTCCGATCTAGACTGAGGTAAAAAACCAGAACCTCGACTTTTCTTTAATTATGA